TTGACCTGCAAATTCTACTTCTAGGAATCTATCCTACAGAAATATTTATGTAAGTATGAAAGGATATACGTATTAAGATATTTATGGAAGCATTTCGTGTTAGAGAACCTTTCTTTAACTTTTCTTCTCCAAGAACTCACTGTTTCTTCCAGAAACAACTTTTCCAGTTATTTACCTTGGGTTTTCTTGTTCATTCTATAGGCTTTAAAAAAATGTCTAATGACCCTTAGTTGTTCATTCATGCTATTTTCAGTTATCCACTGATATGTAAGACAAGAACCCTGAGAAGGCTGCCTGAGAACTTCCCCCACCATTATTAGACCTTATTAGCAGGCCAAGTTCCAGAGAGTGAGGAAATGGGGTCCCAGTCGTAACGGCTCCTTTTTCTAATTCCAGAACCAATACTGACATCTGTACTTGGAGCATTAACTCCTCACCCATGCCCTACTTCCTTCAGTCTCTTGATGAGGAGGTAAATGCCACATTCTGAATATGTGTGTGTGTGTGTGTGTGTGTGTGTGTGTGTGTGAGAGAGAGAGAGAGAGAGAGAGAGAGAGTGTGATTTTGTGTGTGTGTGTGTGTGTGTGCCTGTCCCATCTTTAGTTTTTTTCAGAAGAAATCAAAGTTTGGTATGGCTTAATTGTTTCAGCTTATGAATCCTTCCACATTACCTCCTTCCTCCCAGGCTCAGTGGCTCCTAAGCTCTGTCCCACAGGTCCCGCCTCAGCACAATGCCCGCTGCTCACTGACCCTGTGATGCCACTGCCCTGTCCTGTTAATGAACCTTTGTCCATCTACCTTCTGAATTTCAGAAATTTGTTACAATCATTTGTGCATAGATGCCGCCTTTCTGGGCAGCCTGCTGATTATAGGTTATATATCTCTATATTTTTTTTCCTTTAGTCTTATTTTGATGGAATCTTGGGAGAAGGGGAAGAAAACCTCATGTGTTCAGCCTGCCATCTTGAGTCCCAAACTAAAATATTTTCGCAATATTAGAAAACTGAAGATAATCTAAACATTCCCCAATAGAGAAGAACCTAAATACATTATATTACATTTTCTATATGGAATACTCTGCACTCAAAAACAAAACAAAACAAAACAACAACAACAATGAATCAGCTTTATATGTATTGATATGAAAAGATACCCAAGATATCAATGTAGCAATTTTAAAAAGTAGGTATAATAATATCAACTTTAGAAAATATATATTTTCATTTGTATCAAGGGCTGGATAAGACACACTGAGCTTCTAACAGTAGCTATTTACCTTTGTCTTTACAGTTGAGGACAGGGAACAAGTGTAGGATTCCCAGCAAGAGGGATTTTATCTTTTTGCTCTAGATTGGCTGTATCATTTGAAAATTTAACAACACACATGAAAAAAAATTTCTTGGGATGAATCATCAAACAGACTTAAGACACCACATTATTTAAACCTTGTAATCTTTCCCCATATAGAAAGCTGCTCACCTAATAAAGTTTGAAAATAATAGGTGATCCATGATACTTCTTCCTTTTAAAATGCTGAACATTTTTATTGTTTAAAAATTTTATGAGAACAGGCTTAAAAGTAAATGTATTGTCAATTTATTTTTAAAAGCTTACAGACCTTCAAAAATTCCTTCCAAGTCTACAACTTTATGACAATGTAACATGTTGGCAGGTGGTAATGTTCTGAATAATCAATTTCTGCTTGGTATGCTTTCATGTCTGATTTCTTAACTGTTGCATAATGACATTAGTAAACTGAACTGACTGAACTATGTCAAACTTGGATAGTTCAGCTAAAATAATTTTAAAACATCTTATTAAGGAAGAAAAAAGTAATATAAACTGTCAATCATTTAAATAATCAGATTCAACTTTCCCCCCCCCCCAAATAGCAGGATTGAGAATAATTCACAGAGGGAGAATTCATAGCTTAATAATAGAAAAAGAGAGTTCTAGAATCCAGAACTCATTAAACAGTCTGAATTTTGGAGGATGTAAACAAATTCAAATAAACACAGAATTTTGAAGCTCAAATGAGATGATTAAACATTCTATCTCCTAAAATGTGCATGCCACTAAATGCCAGATTTGCTCAGAGAAAACAGTAACATCGTGACATAGTGAGCTGACCACCTCCCCCAGCTCTGCGTGGCCAGTCCTCCTATAACAGGGCAAGGACCAGAATCTGAGGCTGGCAGGTCTGATTTTGTTGGCCAAACTCAAAGTAAAGTTTAATGTGCCATTGCTATTAACATATAAGCCAAGATCTCTGATGTACATGCCTCCTTCTATTTTGTTTTTGATTTTTAAATTTCAGTTTTCATACCCAAACTCCATAATTGTAACTTTAGTAACTCCAAATTCTTTTTTAATCAAGCAAAGTAAACAATGTTCAGTTTGAAAAGGCAGAAGATACACCTGAAATTGCTTTGGAGACTAAAGTATCATATATATATGATATATGTATCTTCAATATGGTGTATGGTATCTGCACTTGCGCACTATCATTATCCATATGAGTAGGGTAAGTTATTTAAATGTTGAAAACTTTAGAAATCTTTTAAAAATGAGATGATTATACCTATATCTCTAGCACTAAAAATACAAGATACAAGTCGGACTGTTTTTATGGGAATCTATTTTCTATTGCTATCAAGTTTAGGGATTCAGTCACTAAAGAATATCAGCTAGTTCACAAGGAAAGTTTGAATGCTTTTACAAATAACTAAAGACAATTCTGGAAAACAACAGGGAAACTGAAAAAACTTGTTAAAAGTTGTGCAATTTTTAAAAGTGACAATATAAAATTTGAACAATTAATATCCTTTAGATTGCCTATTCTATAGAATAAACTTATTCACATGGATGAGACAATGTTGTGTATGAAGTCAAATTTTACAGAAAATGCAATTTGCAGGTGCATCCAGGTGATGTAAGTTCAACAGAGCCTCCTGGGTGACATGGTGTTAGAATGGAAGCTCCATTCGTCACCCCGGAGTCTCCTTTCTCTACAGTCCGCCTGCTGTTTCCGCTCTCTCCTAGCCCATGTGGCATCCTATACGGCTGTCATGGACACTATGGCTTTCTTGTGCATCCCACTGGTCTAAAGGCATGGAAAGTTCAACCTGACTTCCTGAATCACCCTCCCATTCCTCTTGTTACTTCCATTCTCTCTTTTCCTCTTCTTCATCTCTTTTATGGGGAGAGGGAATTTTTATTCCGTGAAGTTTTGACGTCCTGACAGGGGCTGAGACTAAAGAAAGGCAGTGCCAACTGCTTAACAAGTGTCAGGGGCTCTGTTGAGCATCTGTTATCCTACTGATTCCCACGACTGCTAATGAGGTTGAGATTCTGATTCCCATACTCCAGATGGAAACACCAAGGCCCCGAGAGCTGTTTCCGTTCAGGCACCTAGTGGATAGTCACTCAGAATATCTATTTTGTCTTCAAGTATACTACCAGAAAAGTGCTTATGGAATAGGAGTAAGTACAGCCAGGGAAAATATGCTATCACACACAAAGCTAATCAAAAGCGGCATTGTTTGTGGGAGCATTTGAATACAATCACACTTCAAATCATCCCAGGAAGGACAATTTCCGTTCTAGGAGGCAGGATGTTTACTGAGATATGATCTCATAAAAAAAAAGTACAAACGAAAAGAGTATTTTTTTTCTCTTGCTATTAAAAATAACATATGAACCACTCACTGGGAAACTAGGCATTCTGCCATTTTGGTGGCTCCTGGATTTGCCAGAGCAAATATAACAGTTTTCTGCTTTAATTGGGTTTGTCTCAGAGACACATCTGCCATCCTTCCTCCTCCAGCCAATAAAATCAAGTGGAGTTAGCTTTGTCTACATTTGGCTGGGCGGGGAAGGAAGAGCTGCAGAATAAGGTGGAGGTCCTGGGTCTGGAATTATCTTCTGGGGTGATCCTGGTACTTGAAAGTTGAAAAATTAATGGTCTTTCAATGGATGCAATCAATATTGTATGCCCAATAGTGTACCAGGGGAACTGAGGGTCTGAAACCGCTCTTGGGTGTTATCTTCTAGACTACCCTACCTGGACTACTTGGGTTCGAATCCCAGCTCCACCTCTTTCTGGCTGTGTGAGCTTGACAAGTTACAGTAACCTACCTGTGTGTATTTCCTTATCTGTAAAATGGGGCTGGGAAGAGATCCTATGTCCTAGGGATGTTGAGAGGGTTCAAGATTTTATACACGAAAAGCTTTAAGAATATTGCCTGGCACATAGTTTGTGTTAGATAAATTTCTAATCAATGAATAATCAAAAATAAAAAATATTGCTCTTCACTTAATGACTTTAAAAATGGCTTCCTTATATTATCTCTTTAACTGATTTGTACATGCTTATACAAATTGGAAATCAGCAAAATCAAATTCTTATGACTGGTTTGTACCAGTTGGAATGTAAATGGCCTGGAAACCCGGAAATAAATATCAATGAAGATCTCCTTTGGCAGGAGAGTAGATTAAAAACAGCCTTCTGATATTGATGATTTTGCTCAACATGATTGCTTAAGGGTTCTACAGCTGTCTGGAAGATACACATACCACTAATGGCCCGTGAAGCCGAAAGAAAGAAAAGAAGGACATCAGCTTTAGACCTCCAGAATCTTCAGCTGCCTCTGGCCACCTCACTCCCCAACAGAATGAAGACCAGCAGACCTACTTGTTCTATAAAGAGACCTTCCCATCTCAGAGGGTCAATGTAGTCTGTTATCCACTTCATCATCATGTTTCTCTCAGGCGGAACAACGGCTGGTTTAAATGTATCTATGTCCTACATTTAGTTGCAAGAAGGATTTTCCCTCTCTTTCTCATTTAGGGGCAGGCCAGGTGGTACTTAGGGGTTCCCCAGAGGAACTTTCTAAATGTCCCAAGGCCTCCGGATACCACCATGTCCATCTCACAACCCTGGAAGGAAAATTTCAACCTGCAGCGACAGATGATTTCCTCTGGAAAAAGACCAAGCTTACCCAAGTAGTTGTTGCTCTTGTGCATCTCGGTGATGTTGATTTTTGTGGCTCCTTGGGGAATCTCCACAACGCGGTGGTATCCCAGGCTGGTAAGGGCATGCTTAAACACCCCGGACACCACCTGACAGCCTGTGTTATCGCCTCCACATACCCCGCATTTGTCCATGACTTTATCGGAGCCTAGGTAGTCGTCACAGCCAATGCTCTGCAAAGAGGTAAGACAAAAGAGATTCTTGTAGCATGTACCAGAAGCACCCAGAAGACCGAAGGGAGAGGGACAACTGAAGATCTACTGGCAGGACTCAAACTGACATTCCTACTGCCCTTGCACTGGCAGATAAATGAGTTCATGCTTGCTGTCACTCAACAGATATTCACAGAGCACCTACTCTGGGCAAAAACTGTCTTTTTTTTTGCTATTGTGGAAATATACATTCCAAGGGCAGGATGAGAGCCGCAGACAATAAAGAAGTAAATAAAACAGTACATTTAGTGGTGGTAAGTGATCAGGAGAAAAATAACACAAGGGAAAAGAATAGAGAAGAGATAGGGGCTAGAACTCTATTTTTTACAGGTTGGACAGTGAAGTTGTTCTGTAAATCTTTACTGGACTATGGGAGGGCCAAGGATGCTCCATGCTGTGCATTTCAAATGAAGAATTTTTTTTGGAACCTTTTTTTTTTTAAAGTACCACACTTAAAATTGAGGCTGGCCTCCAAATCTTCTATTCCAAATTATAGACACTACAAGTACATAGCAAAGTATCCCACCCCAAAGTCGTGTTCCCTGACCCAGTTTCTTAGGAAATTAAATAGTCTGAGATCTGAATCTTTACTGATAACTGACTCTGGAGAGTCAAGCAGCAGGAATTTTGCTTGATTACCCCAAAGTGCTTTTCCTGGAGCAAAAGGCCAGAAACACCAACAAAAAAAATGGTAAGCTTCCAAATAACGGAGTGCTCTTTGTACAATTAGTCTTATTTAAAGGAACTCTGTCTTTCCTGAATTATCTCCCCAAAGAATTTCCATTACTCATTTAAGATCTTTTGGCTTTTTCCACTCCCACCCCCATGTTCCTGTTGGGAAAATTTTATTTTGCATTAAAAAAAATCAAATTTTGAAACAGAATGGAATAATCTTCATAAAATCTTTCTCTATTTCTGGAGCTCATTCCATAAGGCTCTCGATCATGTTTCCCAAACCTCAAATTGGGACTCATGGTCTGAGCAAAGAATTCTGTCACATTTCCATGGGAAGTAAGCAGACTGTAGTTTCGATGGTGAAATATTGGGATTACAAGATTATTCACTGAGTTGTGGGGATACAGAAAGATGCTTGAAATTAGAATGTTATTCTAAAACTTGAGACATATGTTTGCTGACTCACAGGTTTGTCTTGGTTCTTGAATTCTAAGAGTGATCATCAGACCATTCTGAGGGACAACGTGATCATCAAACTATCCACAGCACACTTTAGACTTGGTTAAACAACACTGGATCTGTTTATGTGGGTCCTACAGGTCAAATCCTGTAGGCAGGGTCAAATCAAAAGGGGTTCATTCATTCTTGCCCCTCTAATTTCATGTTTGATTGACATCTTTCTGCAGGCACTGTATTCTGCATTATTGCTTCCATATTCCTATGTGCACATCAATCCATCAATAATAACTGGTCTTGCTTCACAAATAGCCTCTCTGTAAAGCATTATTTCTGACAATAATAGAATATCATCTCAATATGTTCATCCACACCCAATTAGCCTTTCAAAATGCCATATTTGCTATATATTTCTCCTCCCTCAAATATTTCTTGCCCCTGCCCCATGAACATTTTAACATGAAAATAAGGAAAATGTCTTCCGTGCATGATTTCTATACCCCCATTGCCTTGGTTTCTCCCTTGCTTTGAAACAAAGAAATGCACCACCAATAGGGGTTTGGGAAAATAGAACCCATGCTGCTAAAGCAAGATTCTAACTTATTTAAGGAGTCTGCTCTCACTGTGACAGGAGAGCTGATCAGCACTCATTTTTACACTGTATGATTGCATCTCACCCTCCTCCCTTTTCCAATTTCTGTTTCATTCCTGCTAACCCTAGGCCCAATATGTCCCAGCCTGAGCTCATTCTCATGGGTCATGCGTGCAAGGCAGAGAAATCAAGAGCAAAGAAAGCTCACAGAATGACAAGGCTAACGGGTAGGGATGCTGGGAGGAATGGAACGAGGCTGAAGAATTCAGCTGAATTTAAGAATCTTGTTTGCCAGGGTGAAGAATTAGAATCTTATCCTATGGAACCAACCACTGGATGTCTGAAGAAAGGGAGGGCCATGCTTAGACCTGTTTACAGATTATAACTTTGGCTGCAGTGTGGAGGGGGTCCATCCTAATGGAGGTGGTGGTGGTGGTGGTAAGTAGGCAGTTGAGTGAATCTCTTTTGTCAATGGGGTGTAGAGGATATTTCACAAATGAACAAGAGTCACCAAAGCTGAAACAGATTATCACATCAACCCTTGGCCCCAGTTCAGTTAGAATGGGATCATCACAAGGAAATCACACAAACTTGCATCACTTTAGACAACCACAGACACACACACAGACAAAATGTTAGTTGATCCTTATGAATCAGATATTACATTCAAATACTGTGCAGAGTCTGATGGACACTGCACCAGATCTGCTATACCTCATGGTCACTCTGGATGAATCTAGACATGGGGACAGAGGGTTGTAGTAACTTTCCCTACTCAATGTCCCTGTATCCTGGAAGTTGACTTCAGGAAAAGGTGTGGCCCCACAAGTGATGCCAAAATTTAATAGTGACAATCTGTCTCCTCAGTCCCATCCTGGACTCTGATAACCCACAGCTTGCTTCTCAAAACAGAAGTTGGATGAGGGGTATGCAAACCTTCCCTGAAGTGTGGAAATACCCTTTGAGTGTTCTAATGGCTGCCAAGGTCTCTGAGACACCAAGTTACTATGAACTTACAAAATACTCACATCCACTCCACAAAGCAGAAAGCACAACCCTAGAATGACAACTGGGAAGATGGTATGTTTTTAAGACCTTTATTTTTTAGCTGAGGCCACCGGCAAATTACACATGTGACAATTATCCCTTCACATAGGGCTGTTATAAGGATCAAATGAAGAATTCAATCCGATATAATTGGACATGATTTGGATTGGCTGAGAAAATTACCTTTGGGCTGAATGACCAGAAAGACCAACCATGACAAGATCTAAACACACAAGTGTATTTTATTTGAGTGACTACATGAGGCCAGCAATCTGGGGACTCTCAACCTGAATCAGACACAAATCCTGCCTTGGGGAATTTGAGCCTAATAGGCAATTAGATAGATACATAGATAATCACAAGCCATCAGGCACCAACCACTCTCTGCATCCTCTATGCCATGCTGGTGGAAGATCAGATCTCCTTTAGAAAGTTATTTATGAGTCACTGAGTACACATAGTCGGGAGGAGTTGCAATATCTCAGCCTAAATTAGGGGAATGGGGATGGAAGGAGAAGGTTTGAGAGAAGTTTGGGGAACACAGTGAAGAGGCTTTGGTGACCCATGGGTCAGGAGAGAAGGAAGGGAGCCTGACCCTTCCTCTTCCCCTCCCCATCCCCTCAACATCACCATGTCTAATGCTCACAGGGTCTTAACTATATATTCCAAGGACCTCTAAACATCTGTCTTTCTAATTTAATCTTAAAAGCAGTCTTGAGAGGCTGAAAACTATAAGGAACTAAGACTTAAGAGAGAGGTTAGGTACCTTGCCCATGGCCATGCTGCTAGAAAAGGGGGAGTCTGGATTTGAACTCAGGTCCCAAACCAGAGTCCACACTTTTAGCCATTATGTGAAGACTGGAGGTCAGAGAATCAGTGGTCACACTGAGGGTTCTAACTTTGTGGAAGGAGCAGATAGTGGCAGTGACCTAGGTGTAGAAAACAAGTTCAATGAGCACTGGGAAGAGCTTGGCCCAGAAGTGACTCTGTCACCACCTCTTCTAGTCTTGGAAAGGACCCACCACATCATGCATCTCTCCCATTTTGGCTGTTTTAATATTATACTCTATGCATAGTAAGTGAGTAAATATTTTAGCTCATCTTCCTGTTACATTAATTTCTTATTTAACTTAATGGCATTGTCTAAAGGATGTACACCATTGACATCAGTATTATACCATTAACTCAAAATTGGAGCTTATTTGGATTTTTCCAATTTTTACATGCATTTATTTGGGCATTATCACATGCCTAGATCATATGCTATGTTGTTTTCTTTAAAGCAGCTGATGTTCTCTTCTAGAACACTGCTATGTAATTGATAAGTGCAGCTGATGTCATTTAGCAGGGAAAGCAATTTAAAATGATGGAAAGAACGATGGGCCAGGAACCAGGAAGGCTGGGTGTAGTCCTGTCCCAGTGCCTGACTTGCCATGTGATGCTCTATGGGTCACTTCCCTCTGGGGTGCTGAAAACAGTTCCACCACACTCCAGATATTTCCATGCACAATATTCAAAATTGAACCTGTCCTGAATTTTGGTTTGTGTTTCAGAAGACTGATCAACTAGCCTCTGATGTAGGTGACTTATTAATGGTGACCTATTTTCAAATTCTTTCAGGGGCACCACCAAAGCGTCTTCAATAGGTACTAAAGTTTGGCACCAGAGTCTTCCAGACCCAGGTTGTTGTACTGGCTCTTGTAAGTGCTGTCTCTTTGGGCAAGTCAATGAGATTATCTGAGCCTCTACTTTTTAAAAAAATGTGACTGGGGATGGTGTACTATCTACCTGTTCAGACTGTTGGAAGGATCAAATGAGGCAAACATGGAAGAGCAGAAAGCTTCAGTATGGTGGCTTCTCAGAGAATTCTGGGTTTAGTTATCATTATCTTCATAGATCTGATTTTTTCTGGGATATAGCCACTTTTAAGTAAATATCATTATCATGAAATCACTGTGCCTGCCTCTATTTGCATAGCATTTTCTATTACTTCTCAGTCAGAAAAATTCTTTTTCACTTGGATAAATTGAGAAAATTCTGAAGATAAAATAAAAAAAAAAAAAAGAAAAAAAGTCATGGTTGACTACTAAGGCAAGAACTTTATGCTCTTCCTGTTTCAATAGTACTGAGAAAAGCCAGAGAGAACGCTGTTCCCTGATCTACCTCATTTGATGTTTTTTGCTCACCATGT